TTTAACTATAGGCATACTATACCTTAAAAGAACCGCAATAATCTAACTTAAATTGCTTTGGAGAGCGTTTTTTTTATTTAAAGAGCATCTCTATTTTAAACTTGAAATAGCTGTTTTTTTGCCCAAATTCTCAAGTTTCAGTCCTGTGTCACCTTAAAGGCTTTCTCTTAAAGAACGGTCGAACAAACTATTTACCTGTGGGCTTTCAAGTTGACCCCTATATATTATATTATGTAACGTTTAGGAGAAGGGCAATGAACAGGATTAATATGCTCTCTCAATATTAGTTCCAAATGAGTTGGGAAGGCAGTGTCCACATTCTCGCGTCCGAACACCTCTTCACACAAGTGTCAGTAATTGTACGGGAAAACAATTTTTTCTAACTCTTTCCTTTATAAAGTTATTTAATCAAATTCGCTACAAATACACTAATAAAACAAGTGTGCATAATTTGAACGCGGACGTGTTTAAGTTATGATTTTAAACATTACATGGCGTTAAGCTCAAGCTGCACACTTGAGTGGTGTGCACATTTTAAACATTTTGTAAACGTTTAGATTCTGCACACTTGGACACACACAAATCTATTGAAACCACATGGCGTGCAGCTGCTATACTTTTCGGAAGTGTTTAAAATTTAAACACCACTTGAAGCTTAACCTTTTCAAACACCACAATGTGTTGAGAAAATGCACACTTGAATTTAAGCACCAATTGGCGTTTAACATTAAACACTTGTTTTTCCAGTGTGTAAAAACTTCAATTTACATTTCACTTCATTATCATGCATCGTCCGTTCGTTCGACCACTCTTAAAGAGAAAGACTCTTGTAGGAACTGTGCCACATTCGAGCGGATTTTAGCATCATTATATGCGTTTCGCTAAACGTTAGTGACGTTTTTTGATACAGTTTTGAAATATACCTTAGACGAGTTTGGATTATCTAAGGCAGTGATAAATTGCCAACACGGTGTGATTCCGTCTCAAAGTCATGACCACATTGCTATAGAGTGCCACAATTTTACCGACGCAACCTGCCGTAAGAGTCAGATAAACAGTTTCACGAACCACTGCACTCTTTTTAAATAAAAATAAGGTTCTTGGAAACAGTCACGGTTCGCTTAATCGTTGTAGCGGTCAAAATGAATGAGACCGTTTACGACACATGCTTATTACCCAAAACATGGTATACTTGTTAAAACTTATATTAAACATGATCCGCATTACAGAACCACTGGACACACTTTTGCCATATCCCTTGGTCAAAGCTAAACAAACAACAAACGACGAGCTTCATGCCCAAACAACCCAGACCAAACAAGGTAAGTCCTGGCATATCTTTATACTTAACAAAATGATGACAATTCGTCCATTTTTAAAATGCAAACATACTGCAATAAACCAAAATATTGTAAAAGTTCGGGAGACACTTTAAGTTCCCATCTGTATTCTTCCAAAGGTGTGTGTTCATGTATTCAGTAGTAGCTTCATCAAAAGATGTCTTTGAGTCACCGAGAGTGATGTCGCGTTGCATAGTAAAACAATTGAATCAACTCTCTAATAAGGTAAAATAACGGGTGAACACAATTGAAACAACGCCAAAGTAATGTCTCAAGACGCTCTGCGGTGCGCTCGTTGAATTTCTCATTTATGCCTCAAAGATCAAATTATTCACACTTTGGTAAGAATATGCATGGCAATTTAACGTTCCCAAAACTCTATAAAACGTACTTTACCAATATCTTACTGTAAGTTGAAGAAGCACGGGGAAAGCAAAAACGGACAGTGGGCAGATGTTGCGAATTAGAAGGGATTTTTTCTCACTCTCCTATCTTCATCGGGAATGACTTCTACTAACTAAACAATGCTTTTTGTTAACACAATGAATCAATCAAAATGAACTCTTCCACTCTTCATACCATTATTTTTATAGCAGTGTCAAAATATTGGTAAAGGACGGGAAATTAATATACGGGGAGCCTGTAAGTGCATCAAACCCATTTGACGTGAAACCTCGGTGTATACTTGTGCTGGTATGGTTTAATAGGGTTTATGGGATTAGTGATATAAAACGTTTCTTTTATTTAGTTCAAATATCGTACAGTAGATGGCGTTCTGCGCAAATGTGCCATTGTTGACTTAAGCCATTTGCCTCTTAATTCTGAGCTTATGGTAAATATTTGGCGCTTGCGCACAACCCGTTTATTGTACGTTTAGTTTGTACAGTTCATCAAAATACTAACATTTATCTAACGCTGTGCAATTATTTTATCTTTCGTTAAATCAGTAGGAGCCCTACAAATTTACAAGAACATTCTTTCTTTTGATTAGCAGTCTTATAACTTTATATGAGAAGCTTTCTTAAGGGCTATCCCTTTAAGAGTGCCCCCACAACGAACGGGAGGCGAGGCGGTGCTGGGTAGGCGCGTGATGCTGTGTGGTGGGCCGTCCGGGCAGGCCGTGCCGGTTGTGCGGGTCTACGCTTCTGATCGTCTTATGAAAGCCGTTTTGGCATGAAAGTATGTCAACATATACCTTTTTGGAAAGATGACAATGTAAAGATGATCATTCTGTAAAAATATGAGTACTTTGACCCCTCATATTTGAGAGGGGAGTGTTTGGAACGAAGGACTAGGATTGGAATAATAGTAAAAGACCGTTTTAAAGTTGTGACTTTTTTTTGAGACGTCCTAGACCTAAACATGAAGCGAGCCTATTTTGCGCTAGACTTTCAGCTTTCCATTCCTATTTCTATGCGTTTTTTACGATGGCTGGTTCTCGAAGAATAAACATTTATCTACTGCTATCTGGACGTCTCTAAACATGCGGATTCACAGTTTTAAAACGATCCTTGACTATTCCAATCCGAGTCCTTCGTTCCAAACACTCCCCTCTCAAATATGAGGGATCAAAGTACTCATAATTTTACAGAATGATCATTTCTACACTGTCACCTTTCCAAAAAGGTGTATGTTGACCCACTTTCATGCCAAAACGGCTTTCATTAGACGATCGGAAGCGTAGCCCTGCACCCGGCACGGCCCGCATGGCATCGCCTACCCAGCACCGCCTCGCCTCCCGTTTAGATAAGGCAAAACAGGGCGCCTGGGTGATCAAGCGAGCGATCGAGCGAGCGGCGCAGGTCACGAACATTCTCTAATAGGTTTCTGTTGTACACCTGAATTACTAAAAAAGACGGTCCTAAGATGTGTTGTACCACCTTCTTATGAAGTAGTGAGGTATTTTATTGGTATAAAGAAGAAGGAAGAAGAAGCTAGAACATAACGAGCCTTCAAATGTTTTTCGAAAATCGTCTGCTAAAACAATTACAAAGCAGTCGATTTCCGAAAAACAGTTGAAGGCTTGTTACGTTCTGGCTTCTTCTTCCTGATCTTCTTAACACCAATGAAATACCTCATTTAGATGAACAACAGTATATTTGGGCATATCTGCGCTTTGCGCCGCTCGCTCGATCGGTCGCTCAATTGCCCCGCCGCCCTGTTTTTCCTTATCTGAACGCACCCAAGAGAGATGGGTCGAGCGGTTGGTTGAGCGATCGAGCGCCAGGAATCGACGAACCCATATATTTTTGGAAAGAGGGAAGAACAAGGATAATTATTTTGCAAAACTATTGGTACTTTTAAGCCAAATGGTGACGCAAAAGGGGTATCGAATGCCGATTTAGATAAAAAGTGTACACCGGCCGTTGACTTTAAGCTTTTTAGTCGACTATTTAAAATTTATCTACGACACCTGGTTCTCGAGAAAGGAGCGTCTTAGTGAAAGAGTGCCAGCAGTCCCTGGCGCAGGAGCCGGTGTGACCATGCGGAGTTTTGCGTCGAAACTTGGCTTCAAAGTACCAATGTTTTTACATAATAATAATCGTTGGTCTTCCCCCCCCCCAAAAAAAACATGGGTTTGTCGATTTTGAAGATAATTTGGCTTTGTTACGCAGAGTTTCACGTATCCCTGGCTCTCGATCGCTTAACCGACCGATCGACGGAGTTTTCCCCACATATGGCCGTCCTTTAAATTGTACACTTTTTCTTCGAAAAATTAGACATTATTTAAACCTTGCAATCAGAAACCAAAAAATGTCTTTAACATATAGTTCAATTTCACATTTTCAATAAGTATGGGCTCTGCAACTTTCTGTGTCCCTCATTTTTAATGGTAACCCCTTTTGTGATGTTTTTAAAATCACGTGACTTGAATTTTTTCTTGTTAATTCATTTACTGGACAAATGCTATATTTTATATACTCTGTAGCTGTAAAAGTCATAGTTTATGAACTGTATAAAAGAACTAAAACCATACGAAGCACAAAAGTTTGTTCCTCGAAATCAGAATAAGGAAAATTGGAATAAAAGAAAAAGATTGCCTAATAAGATTATAATTGCACGAAAATCTAAATAAGGTAAGAATGTTACAGAAACACTTCACGATCAAATTCCGCAAGCAGACCAGAAAGCAATTGACACCAGGCAATCGACGAGGGATCTGGACACCGAAGAAGAGAGAATCACTGAAACAACATCTGTTACGCTACAAAGAAAAACAAGCATACAGGTATATATTTGAAACAGGAAATAGGGCTGTGCGAGTTATAGTTCAATGTAAAAAAAAATTATTTTAACAAAAGAAGGGGAAGAGACAGACTTGGCTAGGCCTCGGAGACGTACCAGCGATGTCGCAGGGTTATGCAATAAATTTGCCCAGGTCTTCACCTTTCCTCTGTACGGTAATTTTCTAACGTAGCACACTTCGAAATAGCACCAAGACTTTAAGGAGGGGCTTAAATGTTGATCAGGGGTGTAGTTGAGAGACAGAATAAATAACAAAACTTTTTCAGAAAAATAATCTTTCAGCTGAATCCTTTTTGAAAAATGAAACAGTTTATCGAATTTGGATAATTTAGCTCTGTTCAACAGTAGTACGCATCCTCATTGCTTGGCCAACTGACCCTCCTATCTTAGGGCGAAGGCCCTAAATATTTCTTAGCTTTTGCCTACAGGCCTGTGATAAGAGTGTACTCTACCTCCCCCAAGGCCCCTCTAGACGGAATATTTCGCAGCAACCTGTCAGTAAACTTGGTAAATTAGTACTTTCTTTCAAAAAAAGAAAAAGAAAAGAAACTCTAAACATTAACTCAATGCAGCTGATTTCGCTGGCTCGCCTTTCCGACTAGAACTCAGCCAAGTCTGTTTCCAGCATCAAACTAAAATTGTTCAAAAACTGAAGGAAAAAAGAAAAGCTCTTAATTTGTATTTAAAGAAACCTAGTAAATGAACAAAAACAACATAACAAAAGAACAAAGCTCCATAAAGTAAAAATGTACAGCCAAAAAACAGCATAAAAAACTGCAAAAATTAGATCGTATGACACCTCCAAATTTCATAAAGAAAGCAACATCAACCGAATTGAGTTAAAGATAATATGAAACGTTCTTATTTCTTTCAACTAACAAAAACTCGCACAGCTCAAAACCAGGTGACTAACACAAGCGCAACAGTTTTAACAATATCTCTTTTCTGAACAGAAAAACGAAGACACAGACATGCAACAAACAATCAAGATATCCACACATGAACAGAAACGTCCAAAACAGGAGCAAACAAAAATCACAGAAACAGTTTCCGAAACACAAGAGAATGGAAAAATTAAGCGCATCAAGAAGAAAATCGTCAAAAAGATCACAGCTGACGAAGAAAA